GATGGATAGATAGAGAGATAGATAGATATATATGGATAGATAGATAGATAATAATATATAGATAGATATATCGCTGTGTGCGTCACTCTTTAGTGTCCCCTAGTCTCCCAGCTGTGTGCGTCACTCTTTAGTGTCCCCTGGTCTCCCAGCTGTGTGCGTCACTCTTTAGTGTCCCCTGGTCTCCCAGCTGTGTGCGTCACTCTTTAGTGTCCCCTGGTCTCCGTTGTGTTTTTTCAGCTTGTTGCAGGGTTTTGTATTTGCAATTTCAATCTCATGTCATGTTTGCAAAATGTGGATAAACGAGGCAGGTTATAAACTTAGAACACGTAACGGTGGATTTTTAAATCTTATTTATGAGTGGATTTATACAGTAGCTTTAAATTGTGAATCAACTGTAAGTTTTAAGTGTAAACTTACTGGTGGACCTCTGGGACCTGGAGTTCCTCGATCTCCCTGTAGTTGAGACAAAATGAAACCAAATTCAACATGTGTGATATACAAGAGCTGTATGTGCCAATCAGCTAAGCTTGACTTATTATATGTTTATCTATCGATACCCCCTCTCAGTGAGATGTGGTTAAAGGCACATGAAGACAGTAGAAGACCACATGCAAACGAAGACACATAAAGACAAGAGTTCAGAGCACAAATGAGGGAATAAAGACGTATGATATTGACCTTGAGTCCATCTGTTCCTGTCGCCCCAGTGGAGCCCTGAATGTACGATTAGACATGAATTAGAAAGTTAGTCAAGATAACAAGACATTTTTTATGAAGACCAGTGGACACACTTTTTAAAAGGTCAAAAAACATCTAGTTCAGCGCTGTCCAAAAATCAAGATGGCCAAAATGACAAACTTGAGGCTCTAAAACTGTAGGTAAAAACAGACTGCACCATGTGACCTCGCGGTGGATATAAAGTTGGTTGTTCATGTAACACCAGTGGCGTCATACCTATATTCATATGTTTCCTGTATCAACGAACACACTGAGGCTTTGAGACACTTCTTTGAGCTCCTTAGAGTCATTAATCTGAAACTCAGACATGGTAACCCCCTACATTATATAAACTGTTTTTCCTCTCACCACAGGCCCCCTGCGGCCCCTCTTCATGTGCTTCAGGTCCGGTTCTGGTCCCATGGGCCCCATGTTTCCCCTCGGACCTCGAGGGCCCGGCAGACCTCTGTCCCCAGGGTCCCCTCTCTTCCCCGGCTCCCCTGGGTGTCCTGGGAGGAGAGGGGAACTTTTTAAAATAGGATAGGCATCAAAATCACACTGACCCGAATATAAGAATATTTGTATATATATATATAGATAGATGGATGGATAGATAGATAGATGGATAGATAGAAAGTTAGATAGATAGATAGATAGATAGATGGATGGATAGATAGATAGATAGATGGATGGATGGATCGATGGATAGATAGATAGATAGATATATAGATAGATAGATAGATAGATAGATAGATAGATAGATAGATAGAAAGATAGATAGATAGATAGATAGATGGATGGATATATGGATAGATAGATAGATAGATAGATAGATGGATGGATAGATGGATAGATAGATAGATAGATAGATAGATGGATAGATAGATAGATAGATAGATAGATAGATAGATAGAAAGATAGATGGATAGATATATGGATAGATAGATATATAGATATATAGATAGATAGATAGATAGATAGATAGATAGATAGATAGATAGATAGATAGATAGATAGATAGATAGATAGATAGATAGATAGAAAGATAGATAGATGGGTAGATAGATATAGATGGATAGATAGGTAGGTAGATAGAAAGATAGATAGATATATGGATAGATAGATAGATGGATGGATAGATAGATAGATAGATAGATAGATAGATCGATGGATAGATAGATAGATGGATAGATAGATAGATAGATAGATAGAAAGATAGATAGATAGATAGA